CAGTGCCACCCAGTGCCACCCAGTGCCACCAGCTCCCTCCCCGAGCCGCCCCTCTGCCCCGGGACCCTCTTCCCGAGGGAAAACCCTGGAATTCCACCCTGGACGAGGCCGGGAATGCGCCGCGGGATCCCCTCGGTGCCCCCCCCGCCCAGGAACCCCCTCCGGCATCCCGGGAATCCCCAACGGGCACCGGGAGCGCCCAAACGAAGAGCCCGGAAGGATAAATCCTTAATTAATCGGGGTTTAATTGGTGCCAAGGGCTGATTGTTTCCCGCCCGGGGAAGTCGCCGGGAGCTCTCCCGGTTTTCCGGGCGGTTCTCCCGGTTTTCCCGGCAGTGCCGGGGGGGGGGGGTGCCTCTGTGCCCCCCCGGGGGGGGCGGCTCCGGGGGCACCTCGTTATCTCCTGCCCGCCGGGCTCGGCCTCGCTCCGCGGGGGCGGGAGGGACACGGAGAGGAGTTGGCACCTCTGGGCAACCCCCGGGATCACCAGGGACTACCAGGGACCACCAGGGACCACCGGGGATCACCGGGTACCCACGGGACCACCAGGGACCACCGGGCACCACCAGGGACCACCGGGCACCCCACAGGACCACTAGGGACCACTGGGGACCACCAGCCATCACCAGGCACTCACGGGGTCCACCGGGACCACCAGAGACCACCGGGGACCACCAGGCACCCACGGGCACCCTCAGGGACCACCAAGGACGACCAGGCACCCACGGGGACCACCGGGCACCCCCAGGGACCACCGGGCACCCCGGCGACTACCAGGGACTACCAGGGACCACCAGGTACCCCTGGGTACCCACGGGGACCACCAGGGACCACTGGCTTCTGGGTAAGTGGATACCCCTGAGTGGCCACCCCGGTGCCACCCCTGGGCACCCCCGGGCACCCCCAGGCTCTGGGCAAGTAGACACCTCTCAGTGGCCACCCCGGTGCCACCCACAGGACACCCCTGGGCACCCTCGGACACCTCCGGGGACCACCGGGCTCTGGGCAAGCGGACACCCCTCTCAGTGGCCACCCCAGAGGAGCAGGTGCCCCCCTGGCACTCCCGTCATGGGCAACTGTGTCCCTGCGGTGAGTGACACCCCCCTGGTACCCCCCCGATCCTGTCCCCTGTCCCTGTCCCTGTCCCTGTCCCTGTCCCTGTCCCTATCCCCT